GTGGGGCTTGGGAACAAAATTGGGATTTTGCTGCCAATCCCAGATACGGTTTGCTGGTGGATACTGGACATCATAGGCTGGTTGTGCGGGTGGTTGTGGTTGTGGTGGGCTGGTGGCTGATGCTCCGCTTTGTCCTTGAACTGACAGTCAGCAGCGGGGTCCCAGCCTGGCGGTGAGTCACGCATGGCTGTGCCACTACCATCACCACTACCACCATCTACTGATGCCTGTGGTCTATCCATGCCAAGTGTAGCCACATCATCCTCACTATCACTATCTAAACCTGGTGTAGGGCCACAGTATGTACTCCAGGATGTACTCCATCCCCTGGGCACAGCATAGGGTACACTACCCGAGCGCATGCGGCGGCGAACATACCGACGCTTCACTGGTGAATATGATTCCTCACTATCACTACTCGAATGATCGTCAAGTGCAATAAAATCACAATCCACGTCACTATCATCATCATTACTGAAGTCATAGGCCTGGCCACACGAAAATATTAGTTTTCTCTTGCGTTGAGGCACAACTGAGGGTGAGTCACGAGTGCCCACACCAGAGGTAGAAGGTTGAGGATCGTCAGGGTTTTCTGCACTATTATCGATATCCTGGTCATTCCTTTCGGTCACTAACTGATCAAAGCCATAGAATTTGTCTTTATTTCCACTTCCATCAGTGTCAGAACTATCAGATAGGAAGAGGAGAGTCCCAATTTTCCGGGGAGTGAGAGCTGACTTGCGACGAGGCATGGTGAACAAGGGTAACTGAGCCGGCGTTCCCACAATGCTATGCGGGCGCCTAGATTTTTTGTTTATGGCGCACACTCACCACGCAGACCCGTTCTCTCACATGTAGGCCTATGAGTGCTTTTGCACTAAATTTGACAGCGCTAGAATTTTGGCACAGATCTACGGTTTGGACACTCAACGTGAAGCCGTAGATCTACGGGACGGACCCTGAAAGGGTTAAGTGGGGAACCATGTATGTCTTCTTCAAATAAGAATAAAAGGAAGGTCAAAGCTTGTGTGGTTGAAATTCTGAAGAAATGCTATTATTTGATCAACAGAAACTCTGACGAATGAGATTATATCAAGACTAGAAAGTTTGTTGCTTTCGATCGTGATATCATTATGCTGAGAGAGGCAGTTTTCTGAGTATTTAAGATGTACAGAAACCATTGGTATTCAATTACAGTGGAAGTACAGTATGCGAACAGCTCCCTAGTCAAACAAAGTTCAGCACTTGACCAAACATGACCTGCCAAACTTCACTCTAAACTATTTCATGTTTCTTGGCATTTTTTGGCATCTTGCTTATATTATTTGTATAAATTAGTCACCATGGGGCCTACGAAGATTAGTGATAACAACAAACCAAAAAGAAAATTGGTTGCAAAGAATCTGTTCGATACTCAAACGGATCGGCACTTGAACAGTCTTCTGGAATGAATTACATGTTCGAGTACCAAGGTTCTACTGTACTTGGAAAAGTATTTTGCCAGAAGACCTGCAAGTCTGTGGTAGCATACATAATCTTTGGTCAACATAATAAGCATAAAATACCATGACTTAACTCTTTGACCTCACCTGTAATGGCACGTGACCTGTCCTGACAACGCCCAACTTCCTTTATTGGCACTTGACCTGATGTTGCAGCACCTCACCTCTCCCATTGCTTTATATAACAGTTTTTATGTACTATTCCATGTATGCTATGTAGTGTAGTAACCTTTAGAATTAGTTTGGCTGAAATGTTTTGCGTAAGTGGCTTTCTTTAGAACATACAATTGTAATTGTTTTAACCCCTAAATGGTCCAAACGTATATGTACGTTCTTTCCCCCAGTGCCCTGAATATTTTGAAAAATAAAAAAATAGTTTTTTTTTATTGAAATACAGAGAAAAATTTTCTAAGTGTAATAGAATTAAAATAAAAAATTAGGGTCAGTACTTACTGAGATATGAGGCTGCAAAGCTGGCACTTAATGCTCGCTTGACGGCAACATCGAGTCCTGCTGCCTGAGGAAGTGGTGCCGATATGCCATTTTTTCTCATTTTTATATTACTTTATATAATTTTCATGTTCTGATAATTAAAATTTATTGTATTTCTTGGCATTTCATAACCAATCTTTGTTCTGACACTAATATTAGGTACTGAAATTGTACTCAAATTGTCACAAACACATTGACAGGGGGACATTTACACCTGACTTCGTCATTTACTATTGTCTAGGAATATATACAAAGTATTTATAGGTCCCAGCAATGTTTTGGATACACGGGAGTACAAAAGAAGAAGAAGGAGGAGGAAGAAGGAAGGAAGAAGAAGGAAGAAGCTCCCTTGAAGCAATGTGACAAACATCCGGGAGGGCAGTGATGAGATATGGGATGACATTTGATGGGCGCCAGCGAGGGTGCAGAGATAAGGGATGACATATGATGAGCTCATATCTCTGTCTCTGATTATCTGTCTCTCTGTTTGCTTGTCTCTTTCCATCTCTCTGCATGCCTGTCTGTCTCAGAGATAGCCACTGTGAACCAACAGATATTCATATGCATTATATCTACAAGCACAGTATGGCTCTTCGGACTTTTTTTAGGTTATCCTAGGTAATTTACATTATGTATAACTGTATTTGTGTGTACCTGTGAGACAGATAACAAGAGATAGAGAGACAGATAGACAAAGACAGATAGACAGAGACAGACAGACAGACCCTAAACTTAGGGTTAACATCACTTTCCTCTTAAAAGGGAAGTGTTAATATGACATTACATCAGTGAATCCTTGGTGTTTGCCCACTGTTTGCTTGAGCTGGCGCTCAGTTTAACTGGTGCTCCCACAAGGCACTATGTGGTCCCAGATTTTTTTAATGTGGTGCACACAGAGTGCTAAAACCCATTCTATGCTGACCAGGCATCTCAGGCCAATCGTGCCAAATTTGGAGGCAGGAAAATTAAAACATGTATATACATTTGGGGCACTAGCAGTAAGAGCGTATATATGTTTGGACTGTTTAGGGGTTAAATTGTATTTGTTTCACATTTGTATCAAAATTTTAACCAGATGTGCTATAAACCCATCTTTTGTAACTTCTATGTTTCTAAAGAAATGAAGATTTTCATTTCATTAACAATAAATAATAATAAGTAATAAAAGGTTTCCTTGCTGAGTGTCTTTTTGCAACATCCTGAAGATTAAAAAGTTACTTTCTGTGTACAGTTTGCAGAACCTTTATGAATAACATCAAGTCTAAATGACTCCTGGACCACAAATAATTCAAGCTTCCCTCTCATAGCTCAATTAGCCTCATCCATTTTCATTTTTCTATAGGACATGCCCCTTTTGCATATTGTTGTTGGATCTGACCTCTGTCATGAGAACCCAAGCTGAAACAGCTATCAGACAACAGTCTTCATAGTTCATTGCACCTTACAGAGAAAAAGTCTTTCATAAATAAACCATTATGCTAATATATAATCAGCTGAAAGGATTACATTTATAATATCCTCAATGCTCGAGTCAAAAACTACCAAGATTGAACACTTGTTCAGCAAATACTTTAAAAAAACAATTGAGTTTCTGCATCTCCCTACACTAAGCACAGCAATTAGAAATTAGGTGACCCATCCTCACAGGGAATGTAAACAAGGTGAAGCAAGTAAACTGTCATATTCACTCACAATCAGACAGCGAGCAAGCACCCAAGTGTCGTGATTAAAGCATCCTGAGTCTTGAGGCCTACCTTATCATTTTTTCTTCAAAGAATTAAACTCAGGAAATTATTACTCATTTGTGGAAAGTCCTAAACCAGTGTAGGTCATTCAGTGCTGCACACCAAGAGTGAGAGAGGGTGAGAGAGAGAAGGTGAGAGAGAGAAGGTGAGAGAGAGAAGGTGAGAGAGAGAAGGTGAGAGAGAGAGGGTGAGAGAGAGAGGGTGAGAGGGTGAGAGAGAGAGAGAGGGTGAGAGAGAGAGAGGGTGAGAGAGAGAGAGGGTGAGAGAGGTGAGAGAGGGTGAGAGAGGGTGGAGAGAGGGTGAGAGAGAGGGTGAGGTAGAGGGTGAAGAGGTGAGAGAGGGTGAGAGAGAGGGTGAGAGAGGGTGAGAGAGGGTGAGAGAGGGTGAGAGAGGGTGTGAGAGAGAGGGTGAGAGAGAGGGTGAGAGAGAGGGTGAGAGAGAGGGTGAGAGAGAGGGTGAGAGAGAGGGTGAGAGAGAGGGTGAGAGAGAGGGTGAGAGAGAGGGTGAGAGAGAGGGTGAGAGAGAGGGTGAGAGAGGGTGAGAGAGGGTGAGAGAGGGTGAGAGAGAGAGAGAGTAGGGGTTGCAAGATTCTGTACGAGGCACAAGTACGCTCACACCTTGAGTATGCCCCACTTTCTTGGTTTGCCTGCCCCCCCCTCTCATCTGCAACTGCTTGACAGAGTAGAGAACAGAGCAAGATGTCTCATCTCTCGCCTGGACCCATCCTGGATAGATCTGTCATTTCTGCAGAGCCTTCAACACAGGAAGTATGTGGGTGGCCTTACTGTTATGTACAAGGCCAATATTGTCAAAGTATCACACTTGGATCCACTTCGAGGGGAGCGTGAAACAAGCTTTTATGCCACAAGACGGGCAGAAAGCAGCAACTTCACTCTGGCTGTACTCTTCCCCAGAACATCACTCCATCTGAGATCGTATATACCCAGGATGACTCGAGTATGGAACACATTCGTACAGCATAATGATGTCAACGAGATAAAGTCAGTTGATCAAATGAAAATGCTGGCCCACTGATGGCTCCAACTTCATCCTGTTCCCTACTTGTATGTCTCATAACAATAAAAATGCTTTCAAATGAGCTGATATAGGTAACAGCTCTTAGCTTGCTAATGAAGTTAGAAATCCTTAACCTGTAAATAGCTTGTCAATAAAGCTAGGGATCCTTAACCTAACCTTGTCAAACCCAGTGTAAAAAAAAAAAAAAAAAAAAAAAGAGGGGAGGGGAGGGGAGGGAGGGAAGGGAAGGGAAGGGAAGGGAAGGGAAGGGAAGGGAAGGGAAGGGAAGGGAAGGGCATCTACGGATTAGAAGTAAGGGAGAAGTCACAGTTATGGAGCAGATCAGCATAAGTTAAAAAGTTATAAAGAGAACTTGTATTAAAGGTGGGACAGTCAAAAAAGGATACTGTATTTAGGGTGCTGAAGCAAAAGTCTGTAATGATGCTGGTGTGCCCATCAAATCAAGAAAGAATTTATGTAATACGTACTTGCAATAAATTTCTAAAGGTAGATAGGCATGGGCCCTTCATATTTAATAGTTTTTGATTAAGAAGAAACTTCCCTTGATTTTTTTACATTGCATTTCCATTTACAAGCTCCTGGTTTATCCCTGGGACTTGTAAATTGATGTTCTATCCTGTATTCTTCAGCAATGTTAAGAGGTAGAAGTGACCATTTGAAGTTGTCTAAATTGGTAAATCATACTAAATGGCCATTGCTACAAACTTCTAAGGCTTCATTCTGCCCTTGATAAACCTTCCTGATATCATAATATTCTTATCTATAGAGGAAACCTACCCTAGATTTGCAGTACACTGAACAAGTCATTCACCATAACAAAGGCCTCTCCACCCTGTAGCTTATCCACTGACTGTACAATATTGTTTTCGGTCAATTTTTCTTTTAGTAAATTTGGGAACACCTGTTAATACTGTACAGTACTTTATTTTCAAATGGTTGTTGTTGTTCATAAATGGCAGGTTTTGCAGTCAGACCTGACTAATGCCCAGAAAATATCATTCCAGTTGTGATGGGGAAGTGGAAAAGGGCCGAGCTAAAAGGTTTGGTTACTGCAAATTACTTGTGTTCCAGAAGAAAATCAGGCATCGTTATTCCAAGTGGTTTTTCAAAATCTGCATACAAACAATATCTTTGCTCTACTCAAATATATCTAACAAAGTTATACTATAAGGAAGTATAAAAGGTGAATAGAACATTTCTTTAGTAGATGGCAAGTCTATTATTCTCTCAATGTATGGTACCACTAAGTAATATATAAAGAACAAAAAGGCACAATACCTTGATTGGAACAATACACAAATAACCCACACATAGGAGAGAGGGGCTTACAATGACATTTTGGTCCAACTTGGACCATTTACAAAGACTTTGTAAATGTAAGTGTGACTGTAAATGATCCAAGTCGGACTGAAACATCGTCATAAGCTCCTCTCCCCTACATGCAGGTTATTTGTGTAACTAATGTATGCAAAACACTTTCAATAATGTAATTTTATACTGTGCAGCTGAGTGGCCAGTACTTTATACATCATCTATATTCAATAAATAGCATAAATACACTGCCATACCTTCAGTGATACTGTACACTTAACACTGCTCATTTTATAATGTAAACCTCATCACCACCTACTAAAGTCAAAGTGTATTGATGTTCTCTACACCACCATTACAGTGCTTCTAAAATAATTGTTTGTTGTTAGGATGCATTTCTTTTAACCCTTAAACTGTCCAAACAGATCTACATTCACATGCATAGCGCTCCAAAAGTAGATCTACGTTTTTTTTTTACATATTTTCAAATAAAAAAAAAAAGTAGATCAAAGTTTTTTTACACGTTTTCAAACATAAAAAAAAAAAAGGTCTACATTTTTTTACATACTTTCAAATGTTGAAAAAACGTAGATCTATGTTTGGACAGTTTAAGGGTTAATTATCTTCCAATACACATAGTTTACTAATTTTTGCACTTGTTCATCAAACTATTAAAGTACTGTAGTTAGTTGTATGCAAGCTATGAGCAAATATGTTGTTAATACAGTAATCTTTCAAATGGACTAATGGATGAAAGGAAGTGTCCAATTTATAAACAACTATAAATAACAGAAATCAGATACATTTGTCTTGTTATAAATTTAATTCCGAATTAAAGATACTTTCTGTGTGAAATCTGGATTTAATATTTTCTTCAAATTATGAATAAGAAAAAGTATCTTTGAGTTTATTATTTTGGAAAGCACTGGCTCCCCGACAACCTCCAAATTAATACTTTTCCAAATTGAAATTCCAAATTTTATTTCTAATCAGAAATGTTCAGAACTTCAATCATTCTAAATTCAAAATATATTCTGCAGTTTTAGGAGAAGACAGTATAAAATATTACTGTACAGTACAGTACTATATATGGATTTATTGATGATACTGCCAACTTCATTTGTTTTTCTTGTTATCAACTGTAATTTTTTTTAGCTCTCCAGCCAAATGTTTAGACAACAGTTTATTTATTTTTCCTAATATTTATATTAATTTCTAAATTAATCTCAACAATTTTGTTAGTAAATTACTATAGTATTAACAAAATCTACATTCTTTTCCAGGATAATGAGTCAATTTATAAATGACAGAGAGAGAGAGGAGGGGCGGGGGGGCTTTAGATGCTGTTTCAGTTCATCTTGGACCATATGATCAAGTCACAACTGAGGAAGAAAATATAGAGAAGACAAGAAAACAGGTCATGAAGAAAGAAGGAGGAAGGGGGGGATGTTGCGGTATTCATGGTGCTGGTGGTGACTGTGGCAGCAGCAGTGGTGGTAAAAATATTACTATTAATATTAAAAGACTTAAAGAACACTTAAAGGAGCATTCACCTTCCTGATATTAACAATACTCTTTTCTGTCATGTTAGGATTATTATTATTATTATTATTATTATTATTATTATTATTATTATTATATTATTATATTGATTGGGGGGGAGCATTAATCCCATAGGGATCATACAGCACCTGGGAAAATAAAGGCAATGAGGAATGGGAAGTCTGGTCCAAGTCCTTGAATCAACAGCCCCTCACAGGCATCAAGACTTCTCCCTTGAGGGATTGTTAGAAAGCCATCCTTCTTCTAGTTGTCACAGGAGACATTTTGTTGAATAAGCTTCTATACACAACATTCCTAACATGAATCTTAGTCCCAGAACATTCCTAATATGAATCTTAGTCCCAGAACATTCCTAACATGAATCTTAGTCCCAGAACATGCCTAACATGAATCTTAGTCCCAGAACATTCCTAACATGAATCTTAGTCCCAGAACATTCCTAACATGAATCTTAGTCCCAAAACATGCCTAACATGAATCTTAGTCCCAGAACATTCCTAACATGAATCTTAGTACCAGAACATGCCTAACATGAATCTTAGTCCCAGAACATTCCTAACATGAATCTTAGTCCCAGAACATTCCTAACATGAATCTTAGTCCCAGAACATTCCACAACCTCTACTACCACTACCTCTACTATCACTACCTCTACTACTACTACTACCACTACCTCTACTACTACTACCACTACCTCTACTACTACTATCACTATCTCTACTACTACTACCACCACTACCTCCACTACTATTACTACTACCACTACCTCTACTACCATCAGCATCACTACCTCTACTAATATCTTCACTACTATGACATTACCATCACTGTAACTGCTACTGTCACCACCACCACCACTACTACTACTACTACTATTACTACCACCATCACTACCACCATCTTTCCCTTCCTTCTTCCTGACCTGTCTGCTGGTCTTGTTTTCTCTCACTCAGTTGTGACTGACTGAAATGTCTAAAAAAATGATCTAAGTGTGGGTTATTTGTGAGTTATTCCACCCAGGGAACTGACTTTTATTCTCCATGATGAGCCAAGCCTCATGTGGATTAAGCACAAACCATTCTCTTCCACTAAGAGCACATTCTTGTTTTTTGTAACACACTTGCCATCCCCCATCAAAGTAGGGTAACTAAAAAAAAAAAAAATTTCATTCGATAGCTGACTTGCCCAAAGTGCACAGACTTCACATGTCAAATGGCCCTCCACAATTAATTTGCATAAATTGTAACTCATCCTGTGGTCATCAGCCAATGTGTGTGTAGTTGTATGTTAGTTCTCAGCATTATGACGACTAAAAATGTGACTCCGCAAACTACTCTTCCGAGTTGCACGATAAGGGCACCTGAGGCAGGCATAAGGCTTCTCTCCAGTGTGGGTTCGAATATGGGGTTTCAGACTTTCTTTCTGAGTAAACCTAGCTGAGCAGTAGGGACACGAATACGGTCTTTCACCAGTGTGAATGCGTATGTGCTTTGTTAAATCTATCTTCAGTGAAGTGGAGTAATTGCAGAAGGTACACTGGTGCCTCTTGTTGCTGGCTTCTCCTCTATTTGGATATTGTGGAACCTGCGAGGGATGGCTACCTTAAATTATCTTTGTCAAGAGTAAACAAATGCCTCATAATTACTGCTATTACATAGTGTAGTAACAAGAACAATGAGCAAATTCATGTTGTACATTTACATCTAACTTGATAACTCATTACAGTAATAAAAAAATTAAACTCACATGTACAGTATAAGAATGCACATGCAAATATTACACTTCAAAATGTATGAAGAAACAACCTATGTGAAACACTTGAACAAACTAGGGTTTGTCGAAGACTTTAAGCTCTGATATAAAACAATAATCACACATACATTAATCCTGTTAAAATTACAGGGATCTTCACTAAATATTGTAATACATGTAAATGCATAATTAAGAATTCAGGGAAAAAAATTTTGGCTACACCAGAAATTTCAGACCCCTCAGACAATGCCAAATCAATTTAATGCAACCACTGTTAATTTTCAAGCATAACAAAAATATTTGCAAATCTTGAGTATGAAAATATACAATGGTACCTCAAATTTTGAACGGCTCCCAACTCGAACAATTATGTAAGTGTATTTTTGTAGGTGCTTTTGTAAGTGTATTTTTGGGGGTCTGAAACAGACTAATCTAATTTACATTATTCCTTATGGGAACAAATTCGCTTGGTAACGGCACTCAAACAGCCTTCTGGAACGAATTATGGCCGAAATGTGAGGTACCACTGTATATGGGAAACTTAAAACAATGTCTGATGTTTGACTCCTGTAGAAAAACTTGAGCATGCTGATAATTATATTAAAAAACAAAAATTAATTTTGCCTGGGCCACATAATATAGGGTAGAGCAGTGTTGATGTCAGGGCTAAGAATAGTGACAGTGGCGAGGGTTAGTTGGAGGGCTTCAGCCCCCCACCAAATAAAAATAGTAATAATAATAACTCTGGTTCCAAACAAATCTCCTCACCCCCCCCCCTATCAAACCAGACAGCCACCTCTAAGCCTCTGTCATGACAGTAATTCTGGCACAGTCATTAAGAAATGTAAAGGGCAGAGTCATGTGCTACAGATTTAAGGAGATTAAGAGGAGGACTGTTGGAGCTGATGCTCCAGGCCCATTACCAGAGTAAGTCTACAAAAATTCAGACAAAATTTTTTTTTTCAGAAATTTTATAGGACAGTACATATCTCAAAAGTACATGTATAAATGTTTTATTGTACGGTCAGTGCTCCAATATCCAGCTCTGATGGGGTAAGGGTATGGTAGAAAATGGATATTTTATAGTCCCCAATTTTTGCAAAGACTCTTTTTTTAAGCATTACCTGTATGACTGTTGCATGTTTCAAGAGAAGAAGAGAGAAACAGAGGGAAGGAAGCAAGGTGTAAAAAGAGGGAATGAAGGAGGGGTAGAAAGGGATAGAGGGAGAGAAAGGAAGGGCTATAGGAGGAAAAAATGGAGAGAAATGGAGGAGAGAGGGAGACAGATATAGGGAAAGAAGTCAAATAGAAGAAGAGAGGTAGAGGGGGAATGGGGGGGAAGGGAATCAGAGAATGGAAGGGAAGGGTATGGAGGGAAAATTATTATATTTAGGAAGAAAATGGTAAACTCATATATGTCATACATTGTCTGAGAAACTGCAATAAAAAATGGAGGAAGGTAAGGGGGATAAAAACCATTATCTTCCTATATTCTATTTAAATCTCAATTATTCCATTATGAATAAATTTCGTTGTGGCAGTTATTATTTGTCAAGCGACTAGACACCTGCATCACCCTTGCCAACATTTATGTACATCAGTGAATCAGTCTGTCAATTCAATAAGCCAGTCTGTAAATCAGTCAAGCAATACTTCAGCCTGTCAACCCTAGAAGAGCATGAAGGCAGGTGGTGGAGGAGCAGCTACATGCACTCTCCTTCCCCACCACCCTGGACAACACTGAGTGAGGAGGTTGTGAGACATGCCTAGCAGGACACCACAGTCAGATACACATCACAACCACCCATCAAATTATTGCCATCAATATCACCATCAGCTATAACCTGTGCCTCATGGATAAACACCTGCACTGCTGCCTGTGTCCATCACTGTATGACCTGTTTTGCTCACACTTGCCACAGCAACAGAACACAAAACACCTGTGTATGAGCACAGGTACACAAAAAGTAATGACATATATTTATAATCAACTGCTTTCTTTGTTTAGCCACATGCAGACCACAGTCCATACGCAGATTCTTAAGACAGTACAGTGGACCCTCGGTTTTCGCAAGTCTCAGTTTTCGTTAATTTTGGTCATCGGCAACTTTTTTCGTCAATATATAGCCTTGGTTTTCGTGATTTCCCTTGGATTTCGGTGGTCATACAGAACATGTCCCAGTGGCCGTGCACACATAAAGCCTCCCACAGACACATTCAGAGTCAGTCTGGCATTGTTTCTCGGCGAGTGAGCATCACCCCCACGCTCACACAAAACACACACTTCATAATAATTGTCGTGACCCCTGAATGGGTCACAATGTATACAGTGTACCCCCGGTATACGATATTAATCCGTTCATGAGAGTTCATCGTATGCCAAAATTATCGGAAAGCGAATTAATTTTCCCCATAAGAAATAATGGAAATCAAATTAATCCGTGCAAGACATCCAAAAGTACTATGAAAAAAAAAGTTTTACCACATGAAATATTAAGTTTAATGCACACAAACTGAAGAAGACATGCACAGTTAGCAGTACTCTACTAACAATAGAATACATGACACTTACCTTTAATGAAGATCTGGTGATGACTGATGGGATGGGAGGAGGGGAGAGTGTCAAAGTTGTTAATGTTTAGAAGGGGAATCCCCTTCATTAGGACTTGAGGTAGCAAGTACTTTTCTGGGGTTACTTCCCTTCTTTTAATGCCACTAGGACCAGCTTGAGAGTCACTGGACCTCTGTTGCACAACAAATCTGTCCATAGAGCTCTGTACCTCTCATTCCTTTAAGATTTGCCTAAAATGGGCCACAACACTGTCATTGTAATAGTCACCAGCACGGCTTGCAATAGCTGTGTTAGGGTGATTTTCATCCATAAAGGTTTGCAGTTCAACCCACTTTGCACACATTTCCTTAATTTTTGAAGTAGGCACAATGGATTCCACAACTGGCATAGGCTTCTCAGGGTTAGCCCCAAACCCTTCAAAATCTTTCTTAATTTCCATACTAATTCTCCCCCTTTTTACTACAGGGTTGGCACTAGAAGCTTTCTTGGGGCCCATGGTGACTTATTTTGCAGAAACAAGCACCAAAAACGCTGTGATAATATGGAATGTACCGAATGTATGCTTAGATGCGAGCACACTGGCTGACTTGTAAACACTGGCACGCACAGGGTAGTTCAGGCCTCATGTGGATGCGTCCCGGACGAATCGCATGTGGCGAGTTTTTTAACAAGTGGCGAGGCAAAAGTTTTGCGTTAAAATGTATCATATACCGGATTTAACGTATACCGATGCCATCGTATGCCAGGGGTCCACTGTATAATGTATATTACCTGTTCATATAATTTTATATTGCTTATATTTGTGATATTAGCTAAATTGTAAATATATTGCCTTATATTGACTTTGTTATATTATTAGGCAGGATGTAACATTTACATATTATTCTTTGCTCATTGCTTGAGAGTGTTAAGTAGCAGACGGCCTTGTCTAACTACTGCTCCGCTTGTTTCGCTGCTGGCTTCTCTGTGTTGCTGGGCAGCAGCAGTCCATGGAAAGTCACGTGATCAGGGTGGGGTGATCACACCTCACCTGAGTGAGAGACTGCCTGGGCTTCACTCTTCTCTCTGTCGGTTTGACGTTGGAAGGTTGTCTCTGTCGCTTTCTTGTTGTTGGTTCTGTATAACTCTGTTCACAGAACATAGCCTAGACTTAGTGATTTTTGATGCTGTACTGAGGTTGTGTGTCTCATAGACACTCTGAGAAACTCAGGTCCTGAGCTGTAGCTTCTGACTTAACTTGTACTGGTATCTGTATACTATCACAGTCGAGGATTTTCTAATGCTGAACTTAGATTCAGTAGTATGGGAGTTTTGTGACTTTTGCAGAGGATCTGCAGATGGTCCCTACTTAGTGTCATTATATTATCTCCTAGTTCCTGATTTTGTGTCGTGTAAAAAAAAAACTTATATCTACATTTTTTTTTGTTGCATTTGAAAATATGTAAAAAAAGTAGATCTACTTTTGTAGCACTACGAATTTGAACGTCGATTTGTTTGGACCGTGTAAGGGTTAAATAACAAAGAAGGGAAGTAACCTCGGATAAGGACTCAGTACCTAAAGTTTTAATGGAAGGGGACTCCCCTTCCAAACAATAGTAACTTCTCCCTCTCCTTCTCCCCTCCTCCCATCTTCCATACACCAACATGAGCCTTCAATAAAGGTAAGTGTGATTTTCTTATTGTTTTATATTGATTTGTCATTCTTTTCTGTATGTAAATCTATATTTAATCTCAAAAATAAATATTTTTTGTTAATACTGTTGGGTGTCTGGAACGGATTAATTGGATTTACATTACAGTGAACCCCCACTGTTCAGTGGCTGCAACTTTCATAAAATCTGACTTTTGGCAACTTTTTTTTTGCCAAAATATAGCCTCATGGTTAGTGGTTGGCCTCGTAATTCGGCGATCGTCCAGTATGCATCCACTGTCAGCGTTCTCACAAAGCCAGTCTCCTGCACCATTCACACTCAGTGTTCGATTGTTTACCAGCGAGTGACCATCACCCCACGGGTTCATACGATACATATCATAATCCATTGTTTTTTGTGTTTGCAACTGATTAATAAGTCATCATGGGCCCGAAGAAAGCTAGTGCCAACCCTTTTGGTAAAGAGAGGCATTAAAAAACAAAGAAAGGAAGTAACCCCAGATAAGGACTTGGTACCTGAAGTCTTTATGGAAGGGGATTCCCTTTCCAAACAATAGTGCACCTTCATCTTCTCCCCTCCTCCCATCTTCCATCCACCCAGAAGTCTTC